TGATGAAATATTTTTTTCCCTGCATCTGCATAATCTGTCATATTACCATATTACCAAATACTTAAAGTATAGATTTAAATATTTTCCCAGGCAATCAAGGGCAATCACTTATTGGCTTTATTATTTTTTATTAAGGAATTTAATTTAATTGGATTATAGTATAACATATATACAAAACAGTTAGAATCCAAAACGTAAATTGATAACAATTACTGAAAATGAAAAAATAAAAATAAAAAAATAGAAAATTGCTAACATAATTAGTAAAAATAAAAATAAAAATCATTAGATGATTTATAATATTTTTTTTATATTCCAATCCTTAGCATAAATTTAATAATATTTAATATAAAAATTAATAATTATATTTTTCAAATTTAATAATAAAAAAATATAATAAAATATAAAAATAAATTATAATAAAAATATAATATTAAATTATAAAAAAAAGGGTTCCCCAAAAAATGGATAGACAAATATGTTATAGCCAGGCAATGCTTTTTAATGTTTATTTGTTGTTGTTTGTTGTTATTGAAATCAAACAGAAATAATTTTTCTTTTTAAATTCCTAATTTCTTTTCACAATAACAGGCTTATTATGCTTATTTTTCTTATTATGGAACTTCTTATTAGATCACTTTTTTAAATTTGAACAGCCTGAAAAAAAAAATTTTTTTTTTTTTTTTTTTTTTCTAATTTTCTAAATAACCTGAGTGGGAACTTGAGAAACTTGGCAGGTCAGAGTCAACCTTATTTTTATTAATAATAATAATAATCATAATAATTAATAATTGATAACGATGGAAATAATTATTGGTAACGATGAAAATAATAATAAAAAATAATTTAATAAATTAATTAAAGCTAGAATAGAAAGGATTATGACTTTTTATTAGGAACATGGTTTACTCAGGTGATATAAATGTTTATATATCTATATTTCTTATATACGTGTTCTTTTTATTTTCTCATTTTATGCCTGTCAGACAATTAAGGAAATTTGGTCTTTTTGTTAGACCTGAGTAAAGCCGGTTACTGAGTTTTTAATTGAGCGAGTGAACTATGTAAAAAAAATTGTAAAAATATATATAAATGCATATTTTATACATTTTTTTTAAAAAAAAAATAATAAAATAATAAAGTTTTCCAAGATCACTACTGGAATATAATAAAGTTTCTTTGTGCATATATAACTTGTTCGCACATTGGCACATTGCGGTGTACACACACATCACAAAAAGGACAAAACGTTAAAAAATAAACAAAAATCCATTTCTGAAATATTACTTTATTATTATTATATATGTTGTATAATACAGTATAAATATATCTTTTTATTTATTTATTTATTTTTTTTTTTTTTATGAATTATTAAAAATTTTTTTTTTTGACAATACAATAAACAAACAACGCAAACTTTTACAGCAACAAAAAAAAAATAAAATACACACGGTCTACCATACAAATTTCAAAAAAAAATTCCCCTGGACAAAAAGTAAATTTGTTCAATTAAAATAGATTTACTTTTTTGAACAAAATAAAATATAATCCATACAGAAACTTGCATTTAAAAAGAAAATCGTTTAAAATGAGAAACGCGTTTTATCTTCGTTTATTTTCTTTTCTTGATCTCATAACAATATAATTTTATAAAAAATTAAAATTAAAAATAAAGATACTAAGAAACGCCGATACAAATATTTTTTTTTCTAATAGCAAATATAATAACAATAACAATAATAACAATAATAATAATATAAAATTCTTTTTATTTTCTATGATATTCTCTGCGTTATTATTAATATAGAAAAGTCTTGTTAATTTACCTGATTTAAACCATAATGAGTTTATCTTTACGGATGCTCGGAAAAAGGTTATTGCCTGTAATTTATCATATAAATTTTAAATTCAAAAGATTTCTGGCTAGTTAATAACCAGCACGCATTAAAAATACTACTTTTTTTTTTTTTTTAAAAAAAAAAAGACGAATTTTAATTATCTTTCTTAATTATAAAAAGTTGTGAAAAGCAAAAAAAATATTTTAAATCATCATCTATAATATTTAAATAATAATAAATGAATAAATATATACCCTATAAAAATATGTCATTCCGATGTGCATTATTTCAGACGTTTTATTATTTCAGGTCAAGTTATATTGTAAGTTGTTGATCGATTATGCCAACATGGGTTCAGGTCGCAGGAGGCATGTTTCTTAAAAATTTTATTTTGCATTTAATTATTTTGTATCGGGACATTAAAAAAATAAAACAAAATAAAGTTTAACTTCATTCAAACTTATTTCGATAGACATACACTTGATTATTATTATAAAATTTTTATATTTTATCATTTTTTTTTATTGGACAGCTATTTAATAAGAAAGAATTTGAAAACAATTGAACATAATTGATGACATGATTCATAAACCATTCTCGCTCCTCTTTCTCTCTTTTTTTTTTCCCATCATTATTGGCCACATGCTACATGCGTAACGTGCATGTGTACATTAAATAATCACTATAGCAACCTTTTTGGATATTAATAAATTCGAAATTTTTGAACGGTTTCCTTTCTTTAGATCAATTCAAGAATACCCATTATTGCAAATTATATCTTTAAATATCAACTTTGTTTACTTTTATTTCATTTGCTTCGCGAGTGCTTGAACGTTTAAAATGTTTTGTATACTCAGGTCTTTCTCGGATCAGAAAAAAGACGTTAATTATTTAAGTTATTTACGTTATTTACGTTATTTGTGTCAGAAAGAGAAGAAAATCAATTTTGTTTTTTTTTGATCTTGATGGTTTTTTTTTAAAAAAAAAAAAAAAAATAACAAAGGCGTAAAAAAAATCGTATGAGGCTCATTACCATTAAAGTTATTATGATTTATTATTTGTTTACTAAATTATCGTTCGTGTAAATTTTTAAAGTTTTCCCGTTTTACATTATCTTTTCCTTCGAATAACTAATCTATTTCCTTCGTCTATTTTAACTTTCTCTAATTTAAGTTGTGTATCAATTTACAACATTTTTTATTGTAAATGTTAAAATAATATCAAATCAATGTAAACCTGTATGTTTTTCTTTGTTTCGTTCTTTTACAAGTTAGGTTTCAAGATAAATAAATGTGTATATCAATTTATTTACATTGCGCCCTTATTCAAAAAGGTTTTTCTTGTTCTTTGTCATTCATTTATTCAAATATTAATAAAATAATATTAATGAAATAATAAAAATAAAATAATAATAAAATAATAATAACAACAACAACAATAAAATAACAATAAAGCAACAATAAAACAAAACAAAGGCGTTAATGTCGAGAAAATCAGCGAGCGAAGTGAAAAATCCGTTGCATAATGTTTTCATTTATTTTTCATTTTATTTTTCTATTATTTTCTATTATTTTCTATTATTTTCTGCCATTTTCTGCCATTTCGTTTGGCGATTTTCAAGTAATCTAATAATAATAATAATATATTTCGTGTATATAATTTAATGTATTTTTAATATATATATATACATATTGATTGTTTTATTTTATTTAATGTATTTATTTAATTTAATAATTTATTTTTTTAATTTACTTATTTATAAAAATATTTATTTATTTATTTAAACATCATACATCTCATACATATTTCATTCAAAGGAATAAAGTTTCGGATGCAATATGTCACTAACATTGATCACGGGGCTACATGGAGTAAATTGTCACATATTACACGACGTTACTAAAAAAATCGCGTGATACCATATCTAATCTTCGGAATATTTCCAATACAAGTACAATTGCATCATCAATAGAATCTCTTTCGCTGTATCGCGGAAATTTGGATAATCAAATATTTTTTTTAATCAGAATTATTATGGTACGATTATTTTAAAAAAAAAAAATTTCATTTGGAAGGAAGAATTTTGAATGGATCATAATATAGTTATATAAATGTATCATATAGTGGTTCAATGTTTTTTTGTTAAAATTGGGAGAGAATCTTCGCGTAAGAGTTTAGATCGAAACCAGGTAAATTTCTGTAGTAATTTCAGTGGTCAATAAAAATAGAAACATAATAATATAGATGACTAAAATTAGTATGTCACCAAATAGATCAAAATAATAATAAATAAAAAAAGATAAATATAATATTTCTTCATTTCTTTAATTCTTTTTGATTTTTTATTCTTTCGATCACGCAACGAATTGACACACACTTATTAACTATTATAAGTTATTACATAGTAAGTTATAATAAATTATAATGTATGCTACATATTCCTTTGCCCTATGCTATAAATGATTTATCTAATAATCAGCCTTATCTTTATATGTTCCTTTTATCGGGGTACTTTTAAATTCATTTATACTTTTCGAGAATTATAAACGAGAAGGCCAACTATATGATAATATAAAAGATCCAGACTATTGTATATATGCTGTGTACCTGAGTAATAATAGAAATAAACAGCACAACAAATAATCAATAAAAAAATCAATAATCCACACGGATTACTTGCATGACTTTTGCATGTTTGGGCATTTTGATTACACCAAAGACTTACAATGGTTATGTCACATATGCCACAAATGCCGATGTGATTAATTGATTATATCACAATTAACAAGAACAAGGACCAAGGCTGAAACAAAACAAAAAATAAATAAATAAATAAAAAAATAGACCATTTTATTAAAAATAAATTCCAAATTATAATCTAAGTGTTTGTAAAAATGAAATTAAAAAATCTCTTGAAAAACCGAATATTTTAAGAATGGAGATCAAGCTATCAGATAATTTAATGAAAATATAATTACTATTGAAAGCCGATCGTTCAACATTCCTTAAAATTATTTTTTAATAATTAATATTAATTTTTTTTTTAAAAAAAAATAAGTCAGACTGTTAGATAAATTAAAATTTGCAATTAAAAGAATATGGTAAATATTATAATTTAAAAATTATTAACTAAATATTCCTTTTAAAAAGATTTAAATATTATTATTCCTTGAGAAGTGATTGTACAATATGACTAACTCTCATATTTTTTAAATCTGTATATGTTTGACCAGTTCCCACAAATAATATGGGTTGTCCAGTTGTATAAGCCATTGACAAAGCAGCTCCAACCTATTCACCAAACATAAAATATTTTAAGTAAAGGAAATATGAACAACAAATTTTGTGTAAAAGATTAAGTAAATTACCTTGTCATCGATAGTATCAAATTTAGTCAATATAATTCCATCAATGTGTCTCGGATTTTGTAATCCTGAAAAATCTTTCAATGCCTGATTAAATTTCGTGAGTTGATCAACTGCCTCGTTACCAACTAAAGCTTCTCCAACAAATATTATCTTATCGGGTTTATTTACGGATACCAACTAATAAATTAAAAATATTAAATATTATAAAGTATACTCATAATAATAAAATTTTACGTCAAAAATATATATAATCGTTACCTTAGATAAAGCACGCATTAAAGGTTCATTGTCTTGCATACGACCAGCTGTATCGATCAACACAACATCGAATTTGTTTGATTTACCTAAATTATTTAAAAAAATTAATTAAAAAATAAATTAAAAAAAATTTAATTAAGAATGATAAATTATAATTATTGATATTAAAATATCAATTATGAATTACCATAATTGATGGCATCTTTGGCTATTCCAGCAGCATCTTTTCCGTATCCGCGTTCATATAATTCAACAACTGAATTTTGTCCCAATGCATTCAAATTTCGTACATGTACTCTTAATTGCTCTACTGCACCTGATCTAAATGTGTCACATGCTGCGATAAGTACTTTAAATCCATTTTGTAACAGCCAAAAACATGTTTTCGATAAATTTGTGGACTTTTGCATATAAAAATAGTAATTAATTAATGATAATAATAATAAAATAATAATACAAAATAAAAGATAAATTTAAAAAGAAATTAAAAATTACTTTTCCAACACCATTAACTCCTACAAAACAGATAGTATAAGGTCGTGATTCAGCTTGCGATTGTCCAATATCACGTAATAAATCTACTGATGTCTTGGGTGTCAGAATACGTTTCAAGGATGCTTCCATGGCTTGTTTCACTGTTGATCTGATAGCTTTTATAAAATAATCAGTCAAATTATTAATTATCTTGTTATTTAAAGAAAGTATATTGAAGGAAAAACTTATTATGAAAATTAATTAATAAAAATAATACTTTTGAAGCTTCCTGTCTTTTGGCCTACAAGATTCTTTGCAACTGATTCACATAAATGAGTTGAAATATCAGCAGCTACATTCTTTTTGATTAAATGTTCCTTCATATTCGCCAATACTTGCGCTAAATCTTCTTCAGTAATCGCTTTTTGACCAGTAATATTTTTGAAAAATGAAAACATGCTTGATCCTTTGTCTTTATTTCCATTTCCATTTGCAACAACATTTACTTCTTCATATTCATCCGACTCTTCATCCTCCTCCTCTTCCTCTTCACCTTGACCTAAATCCTGTACACTATAATGCCCATTTTGGAATCGACCTAATTGATTTTCGTCAACGAATTGTTGGCGAATAACTGACTCATCAGTATCGTCATTTTGATTAGCATTATTACTATAGTCAAGACCTTCCATTTCTTCTTTATTCAATTTATCATCCCAAACACGCATGATCTTTTTTCTTGGTTTTTTATCACTACCAGAAGAATTACAAGGAGTTAGTTAAGATACAAAAAAAAAAATAATAACTTTATTTTTTTCTATTTTATATTTTTTATAAATACTTACTCAGAAGAATCATTAACTAAAACTGAAGAAGATCTGATGCCTTTTTTACCTTTACCATTACGATTTTTAAGATGTTTTCCATTACTACGAATTGATTCAATATTGCGAGTTATTTCTTCTTCACTGATAATTGAATTGGGTGAAGTTTTTTCAAAATCTTTCACATCTAAAGTTATAATTAATTATAAAAAGAAAATTCGATGTTAAATAATAAATGTAAAATGAAATAAAATAAATTCGTATAAAAGAAATCGGTTTACCAAGCTTTTTATTTCCTTCTGTGGTTGTTTTGTATTTTTTGGTCTCTTCAAATTTACGTGGTTTCGTTCTTCTATTTTGTTCCTATAAAAAAAATAATAATAATATAAATCAATTACTATTTAAATGATGATGATGATGATGATAATAATAATAATAATAAATTTGCTTAAACATACCCGAGCATCTTTCTCTTCAATATTACATCGAATTGAATCAAAGTCGTCATCAAAAGCGTATTTATGAAGTCTTGAGGTATCTCGAATAAAGTTTGCAAATTTGTCACAAAAGAATTTTTTTACAGTTGCCAAAAGTTCTTCGATGTAAGCAAGTTGAAGGATTTTCTGGTATGCTACCTATATTTTTATTTTATTTATTATTATTTTTTTTTTTCGTAGATTATAGTGGATTATAAAAATATATATATAATATAGAAATCTTAAATAAGTTTATTATTAGAATTTTAATAATTCAATCGTGGAAACGAATCATCAAAATTAATATAATAAGATCTATATTAACGCCTTCAACAACTGCAACTCACTCACATTGTTAGACATTTACCACAAAAATTAAGTCCAGTTCGTTAGCAAAAGTCCATTTTAAATTATATGAGTTTTTGGTATAATTAGTTGCTCCGGCTCTTTCTTCAATCAATACTTCTTTGATCAAATCATCAACTGGATACGTAGTAACTCGAGCAAATGTTTTTGACCAAAGGACAATACCACCCTTCGTCAGGATAGTGAAAAAGTCAAGCATAATTTTAAATTAAAATGATTTTTTAATTTAGAAAGAAGTTAATTTTGAAATGCATAAAAATGTAAAAAATGTAAAAGTTTGGTTGGTTCAAAAAGTTTTTGGCGATCGTAACATCTGATATTTAGAAAATTTCACGCGTACATGCATAAAAATGTTTTACTCCGTCAATTTTTGATACTTGTAAATAAAACAAAACTTTAAAAAAAAAAATGTCAAATAATTTAGAAAACAATCGAAATCTCGTTGATAAAGCAAATGAGGTTTGCCCTTAAACTATTTTTTTTATACTTACAATATATTCAGTATATTCAATACATTCTATATACTTACAAGTGCGTTTAATTTTTACAAGGCAACTAATGTAGAATTTCTTGGACCTTCAATAAATTATAATAGAGAAGAGTAAAAAATAGATATAATTTTATTTCTTACCTTTCGATATATCTATATATATTGTGTTCTTTAATTATGAAAACATTTTATCTCTTTACACAATAAAAAGTTTTAATACCATTATAGAGTATTATTCTATAGCGACTCTCCCTAATGATTTGAAAAAATGGTCTTTTCAATTAGTAAAAAAAAATATGAAAAAATTGTACGTTCTTTAATTTACCTCAATTAAATAATAATAAAAAATAAAATAAAATAAATAAACACTTTTAAAGTTTATAATAAACTTTTAGTTATGAAAACTCAAATATGGGTTGGAACTCTGAAAATAAAATAAATGAAATGCGTGAGGGAGGTGCAAGATATCTTATTGCAAGACAATTCAACAAAGTTCACAATGATTCAGGAGAAAATAAAACTATTGGAAAGCCAATTGGTTTTTTAATGTTTCAATTCACTTGGGAAGAGACAATGGCAGATGATGATCAAGAAATTGAAGTGATTTATTGGTATAGTGTGTTATGTTATATATTATTATTTTAAAAATAATGATATTAAATTTTTATTTATTTAAAATAATTTAATATTATTATAGTTATGAAATTCAATTAATAAGTGAAACAAGAGGTAAAGGATTAGGTAAATTCTTGATGAACACAATGGAAGAAATTGGCAAACATTGGGGAATGAAAAAAAGTATGCTAACAACTTTTAAAGGTAACTTTTAATAAATAACTTATTAATTTAATTATTTAATCAATAATGAATTTATTATAATAACCAATTTTTAAAATGTTTAACTTTCCAGCAAACACAGCAGCATTCAATTTCTATTGCAAACATTTAAAGTAAATTTAATAAGGATTTTTTTTTTTTTTTGAAAAAAAATTTCAATATTGATTTATTGATTAACAATATATTAAAAAAAAAAAATAGGTATGAAATTGATGAAATTTCACCAAGTAAAGTTTTGAAGCCAAAGGAAGCCAAAAAATTTGATTATGAGATTTTGAGTAAAGTTCTATAAATTATAAAAGAAAAGTAATATTAATATAGATAACATTTGTTAAATGAAAAAAAAGGTGATATATATATCCCTTATAGATTTTGCTTTTTCCAATCACTTGATATAGATAGAAAAAAATTGGATTATGGAGTAGAAAAGATTATTTGACTTAATATTATAAGATTAAAAAAAATAGATATATTATAATAGTTCTGAACTAATAACTTTATTGATAATAAAGTTTTGGAATTCATAATTCAATTGCAAATTGATAAAATTGTTTTTAAAATTAAAAAGAAATTATGAATTAACATGTTATAAAAAGGTAAAAAATTCTATATATAAAAATTTTTCATTTATTAATAAACATCAAAATTGATATTAAGCTAGAAAAAAAAAATAATACAATTACTGTAAAAGTTTCAGAACTGTTTCTCAAGAATTGAAAGAATATAATGAAATATTTTAAATTTTATTTTATTTAATTCATTATTCTTTAAAATTCTTAAAGAAACTTTTGATTTTTATTTATTTATAGACTTGCAGTATATACACAGATAGCAACTTCTCAATTAGTGCAATAAAAGGATATACTGATGAAAAAAAAATCCACTGATCTTACAGACCATTAAAGAAGTTATATACAAAAAGCTAGATATCATACTTTTAAAAGTAGATGCTCATACAGGTGATATTTATAATAAACAAGCAGACAAATTAGCAAGCAGGAAGTCAATTTAGGATCAACCTTTAAAATCAATTCAGATTACATCAGAGAACAACAATGTCATTTCAAATGGAAAGGGGAAAGCATTGATATAGATATCAAATCCTTCATAAAAAAGAAAGAGGAGGTTGAATCACTTATGGCATGATTTATGCAACATCATATTAATAAATGGTTAAATAAAAAAATTATAGAGAAAACTAAATGGAAATGATCAGTTCAATCATGGCATGGTTCAAAATTGCATCTACTAAAACAGATACAAGAGACAGTGCATTAAGATCTTTCTCATTAAAATTATTAAATGAAGAATTACCTATAATGACAACCTTATACACATGAAAACCTGACATATACACTAAACCTGAATGTCCATTTTGTGGAAAATATAAAGAAACTAATACACATGTTTTTTCCTATATTCAGAAAGAGGAAAAAATTTAAAAATTGCTTTCCAAGCAACAATTAAAAAGATATATACAAAAGAAAAAGGAAAAAGGGGATTAAAGGATTTAATGGCAAAGATAATGCACAGACATTTCTTGAAACAGACAAATCTTAGGTACACAACCACATGATGGATTTGAATTCAACAACCTAATAAAAGATCTAATTTCCAAATCTTTATATAAAATAATATGAAGCATAACAAATTCTGCTGATATGGAAAAACAAATGGTCATGGACATCTTCAAGATGTGGAAAGACATCTTACATAACAATTGGAAAAAAAAGATGTAAAGAGTTCTTAGAATGGGAAAAAATAAATAATATAGGTGAAAATCAATAAAAAAAGTAAAGGTAAAAGACCAATTATAGATTACACATATATAGAACATAAAAAACATTTAAAAGAAATAGGGACAGATATTATTCAAAATACTATAAGAAACATATATACACATAATATAGATATACTTTCAAATATTCTCTCTTGTTTAGACATAAGTGAGGTTGTAACCTCCCAGTAGGAAGGGTAACTTTCTACAGTGGTAGGTTAGGCCATAGTTTTTAACTTAATCAGATTTTATTCTTCATGTATTTCTTTATTGATTTATAATTAATGAATAAAGTCGAGACCTCACTGGTCCAGTTAAATTATAGACTTGCAGTATTGAGGACTTGTAAAATTTCAGCATTTTTTCATATTTGTAAAGTTCTTGAAAATGACAATTGAAAAAGTTTAGTTCTTGATGCAAGTTTAGATGATTGAACAGAACTTCGAAACAATGAAACAATGAAACGATTAGTTGTGGATCAAGGATAAGATGTTATTAACCAATCAAATCATTTAAATAATCACGACCGAAAAAATTTTAATACGAAAAAGAAAATGTTAAATTTTTCGAGAACAAGAGTAAAAATTTGGGTGAGCAGTTTTATGACAAGAAAATAAAAACTATAAAAAAAAAAGTATTCTAATAAATTATTTTAATAGGGTAGCAAACTTTATTTTTATTGTTTTTTGTAAAGAAAATTTAATTGAATTTAATAAATTTCATAATAAAAAAAAATTTGATAAATAATAAAAAGAATAAATAAAAAAAAGAATAAATAAATTTTCTCTCTCTCTCTCTCTTGATATATATATATAGCATATAGAACCACATACTATTTCATTATTATCAATAAAGTCCTATAAAAGACCACCTATCATTCAACCTGGTTCAGAAAGGTGGGTGGAAGTGGATAGTAATGAAGACTTTCACGTCGAAACAGCTTTACGTAATTTTCGGTCAAATCCAAAAAATTTAAATAAATCAAAATTAAACAATGTAATAATAGATAATGAAAAAATTAACAGTGACGATAATAATAATAAAGAAGAAAATAGTACAATAAAAACAACAACAACAACAACAACATCATCATCATCATCATCATCATTATCAAGTGAAGGAATTAATAATAATGAAAAAAAAATGGAAAATGGAAACGATACGAAAGAGATAAAACTTTCAGAAACCAAATGGGCTAAATCATCATTAAAAGAATCTTTTCGAGATACTTTATCTCGAGAAAAGAATCCAAATCAAAATTGGTATGGTTATGATTATGATGGTGATGATGGTGGTGGTGGTGGTGGGGAACGGTCAATTAGACGTTCCGAAGGGAACAATTATTGGAATGATCGTTTAGAAGGAAATGATAGAAATAATAGAATTAATAGAAATTATAATAACAACAATAATAATTATAATAAAAACAACAATTATAATAATGAGCGTCCAAGATTTGATAGATTTTCCTCCTCTTCTACTACTACTACTACTAATAAATTTAGTAGTGGTTTATTTGATAATTTAAAAGTTAATAATAGTGGTGGTGGTAGCGGTGGTGAACGGTTAACAAGACGTAGTATATTTGATGATTTAAAATTTGGTGATGGTAGTGATCCATTTCCTGTTAATCCTATTGGATCAAAATGGCAAAGACCAAAATCAAAAGAAATTTTTAATCGTTCATCTGAAAGTAAATCACAAAATTCCGAAAAATCTACTTTTGATTTTTTACAAGATAAGAATTTTAATAATGAACAACATGGAAGACCAACACCACCACCACCATTTAATCGATTATTTCAAAAGAAACCACAAACTCTTCCTTCATTAGGGAAATCCAAAGAACTTATATCACAAATGGAACCACCAGAAGATATATCATCATCAAATATTATGGGAGAAATTAATAATGATGTTGAACAAGAAAAACAAAGGGCACGTCAAAAATTTGGAATTAAAAAAGATAAAGCTATAACATCAATCGAATCACGGAAATTTAGTAAAACCATGAAAAAAGAAAATTTTGAAGAGGAAGAGGAGGAAGAAGATTTTGATATGGAATTCGAATTTGAAAGATCAAAGAAAAAAAAGCAACAACCAATTATTCAAGAATTACCCAAAATTAAAAAGGAAATTTATCTTCCTGAAGCTATTAGTGTTTCGAATTTAGCTAAACTTATTGGAGAACGATTAGGTGAGCAAAATTAGATAGAGAGAGATATCAGTGGAATTTCTTTATTTCCTTTAATTTTAATATAAATATAGTCTTATTTTAATAAAATGATAGCACCATTTGAACAAAAATTACGTAATCTTGGAATTGAATATACAACTCACGATCATTGTAAGTAAATTTAAATGAAATTTTTTTATCAAATGAATGAATGAATGAAAAAATTTTTATTAAGAATTAGAAATTAATTTTTATTCATAATATTATTCTTAGTGTTAAATGCTGAAGAAGCATCATTGATCGCGATGGAATATGACCTAAGTCCCGTGGTTAATTCAGAAGCTGCCATAGATCTTTATTCAAAGTATATACATAAATATAATAATTATTATATATATTATTCATTATTATTATTTTAATTATCTTATTTATTGTTTTATTATTATTATTATTATTATTATTATTATTATTATTATTATTATTATTATTATTAGACCAATACCCAGTGATATGTCAAAGTATCCACTTCGGCCTCCTATAGTAACTATAATGGGACATGTGGATCATGGTAAAACTACACTTTTAGATTCTTTACGAAAATCTTCCGTAGCAGCTGGTGAAGCAGGTGGAATTACTCAACATATTGGAGCTTTCTCAGGTAATTACATAATTATAATAATCGAGTATTATCTGAATCTTTGAATATTATTGATTTTATATTTTTAATATTAATTTATAAAGTCACATTACCTTCCAAGAAAACTATTACTTTCCTTGATACGCCGGGTCACGCAGCATTTTCTGCTATGAGAGCTAGAGGTGCTCATGTAACTGATATTGTTGTTTTAGTGGTTGCAGCAGATGATGGTATAATGCCTCAAACTATTGAAGCAATTAAACATGCCAAAGATGCTGGAGGTAATTAATTAATTTTATATAATATTTGAAAATTGCTTAGGATTACCGGTGGTGATTGTCGCCACTAGGGCAAAATTAAATTTACTTGGGTAAATTTAGGTAATTTTGTTTAGTGGTTGTAATCATCATAGGTGAGCTTTAATATTTATATATTATTATTTTTATTTATTAACATTTTTATATTAGTTCCAATGGTCGTGGCAATTAATAAGATTGATAGACACGACGCGAATGCATCTAAAGTACGCGAATCCCTTTTGGCACATGGCGTGGAACTTGAAGAGTATGGTGGCGAAACACAATCTGTTGAAATTTCTGCATTAAAGGTATTTTATATATATATCTTTCTCTTTCTTTCTATATCTTTTATATCTTTATATATACATTTATAAATTGAAAAGATTAAATGAAAATTATTTACAGAGTCAAGGTTTGGATATATTAGAAGAATCAATTATAATTTTAGCTGAATTATCAGAATATCGTGCTGAAGTTGATATTGAAGCTGAAGGAAATATAATAGAATCTCAAGTAGAAAGAGGCAAAGGGTGATTATAATTAATTATAATAATTATTATTTATATTATTTATCATATTATTTATTATTTATATTATTTATCATATTATTTATTATTTATATTATTTATCATATATCACATTATTTTATTACATTATTTATTCACATTATTTATTCACATCATTTATCACAATATTTATTCACATTATTTATCATATTATTTATCATTATTTATCATATTAGAAATGTTGCTACAGTTTTAGTGAAACGTGGAACTTTAAAACAAGGAGATAATATCGTTGCCGGTACAAGTTGGTGTAAAGTTAGATTAATGACAAATGATAAAGGTGAATCACTTAAGAAAGCATTACCCGGTACACCAGTAAAAGTTATGGGATGGAAAAATTTACCAAAAGCTGGTGATGAAGTTCTTCAAGCCAAAGATGAAGCAAGTTTATATTTATATTTATGTTTATATATATATATATATTAATATTTTATATTCGATAACTTTAATAATAATATAATAATAATTACGTTTATTATATTATATTATTTAGGAACTCGCCAAAACTGTAGTTAATAATAGGTTATTAAAAGAAGAACGAGAAAGACAAATCAAAGATCTTGAAGTAATTAATGAAAAACGAAGACAGCGTAAAAAAGAAATAGAAGAGAAACATGCAAGTGCTAGAAATTTCAAAAAGGAAGTTTGGATGTTTCATAGAGGATTACTTAAAGAATATCCAACAATGGAATCACCATTTGAGAATAATAAAGAACAAGAATCAGAAGAAGAGAAAATTAAACAATTGAGTGTTATTGTTAAAGGTAGTTTTTCTAAATTTTTAAAATTTCTAATTGATTTGGAATTATTTTAATTAATTTTAATTAATTTATTTTTAGCTGATGTGAGTGGATCAGTTGAGGCGGTAGTAAATTCACTTGATTCAATGGGAAATGATGAAGTTTGTGCTAATGTGATTGATTTTGGAGTTGGAGATATTAATGAATCAGATGTTATAAAAGCATCCGCTTCAAAATGTAATTTTTTTTTTATTATTTAATTAAAAAAAAAAAAAAAAAAACTTGATTTAGATAACATTTGAATTTCAATTTAATTTTAAAAATTTATTATTTTATATACATATGTGTAGCTTTAATCTATGGATTTAATGTTAAAGCAAATTCCAAAGTTACAGGAATAGCGCAATCTGAACAAGTTGATATCATTACACATAATATTATATATAAATTATTAGATGATGTAAAATTAAGATTAAGTCAGATGTTACCACCAATCATAGAAACTCATGTTACAGGGGAAGCAACAATATTAAAAATATTTGAAATTAATATTCGAAGTAAAGAATTTAAATCAATAGCAGGATGTAGAATTACGGATGGAATAATAACTAAAAATCAAAAAGTTCGAATTATGAGAAATGATTTACAAGTTTGGGAAGGTATTTTTTTAATTATTATTATTGTTATTTCTATATTTTCTATCTATCTCTATCTCGATAGATTTTTATTCTATTTTAATAACGATAAGAATAATTAATTAACTATTATTATTATTATTATTAATTAATTAATTAATTAATTAATTAGGATTTCTTGAATCATTGAAACAAGTAAAAACCGACATTCCTGAAGCTAAAAAAGGGTTAGAATGTGGGATGTCATTTGAAGGATTTAAAGAATTTAAAGAAGGAGACATAATTCAAAGTATAATTATTAAAGAAGTACCACGTAGTTTATAATTTTTTATAATTTTTAATTGAAAAAAAATAAATAAATCGAAAGTTTATTTATTTAATATATATAATATATATATAATAATAGAGAGAAGAGAGAGAAAAAATATATATATTTATTTATATATATTCATTTATATATATTCCAAAGTATAATAATAGTAATAATAATAGTAATAATGATAGCAATAATTATAGTAAATAATTATAGTAAATAATTAAAGTAAATAATGATAGTAAATAATGATAGTAAATAATTATTATAGTTAATAATTATAATAATGATAGTAAATAATTATTATAGTTAATAATTATAATAAATAATGATATAAAAATTTACTATAAAATAATTATTAGAAATTTTATATACATCAAAATAATATAATTTTGTTTTTTATATATCTAAAAAATATATATATATTGATTTTTATTTTTTCAATTATCATAATTATAAAAAAAAAATTGCTATTATTATTATTATCATCATCATCATCATCACCATCATCATCATAATTATATAAAAAAAAAAAGTCTTTTCATTCTAAAAAAATTTTTTTAAACATTGGTCAATGTGGTTCCAGCTTTTATCGTCTCCCAAAATTTAGCAAATCCATTAATCATAAATCCTCGTAAACTTGATTTAAAATTCTTATTCCATCCAGAAGTTAATAAAATAATGAAAATGAAAAATGGAATAATCTTTGGAATTGATATATTTGATGATGCCTGATGTAAATAAACACAAAATGTATCTCTAAATCGATTTAACATCATCGTCATAACTGTTCCTGATGATGCGGTAATTGTGGTATGATGTGAATTATTATTATTATTATTATTACTATTATTATTATAATTATTATTATAATAATAATTATGATTATTATGGTTATTACTTGTATTATTATTATCATAATCATTAATATTATTAGGAATCATCTTTCTTACACCCAGGATTGATGTTCTTGATTCAGTAGGTGACATAAAGAATCGATTATTAATTAATTGTCTTGGAATATTATGAATTCCTCTTAATTTTTTATTCTTATTATCAGATGATGATAATAATGATTGTTTATGTTCATAATCCATTCTATGATAGAAAAATCTATTTCCATTATCATTAATGTAATGACCAAAGTGACCATTAGAAATTTTTTCTTTATGATGTTGATGTTTAGATGATAATGATTTATTTGATCTTTCTTTAATTCTAATAAGAGTTTGTTCGTATACCTAATTCAATTAATAACATTCGTTAATCGCTCGTTCGCTCACTCGCACGCACGCACACGAAGGATGAAATAAATCATAACATAGAGGAAAGAGAGAAATATATATATATTTATATTACCTGTTTACGTTCTTTATCAATAATAGTATTCTTGTTAAGAAACGAATTTGCTTTTTCCCATTCTTTAAGATTTGGTAAAACGTTTAAAAGATATAATTGTACAATTTTTTCATAATTCTTTAATATCGGATCATTCTTGATCCCATTAGAAGAAGGATTAGAAGAAGAAGACACGGCTGCTGATTCTGCCGCATGATTTAATTGATTATTTATTAATTCAGGAAGTGAATCATGCCAATCTTCAAATATTTGACGTGCAAGTTTAAATGATTTTTGATGTAAACAAAGTAACATACTAAAAAAAATTTGGGTAAATATAATAATATATATATATATATATAATTATTATTTAATGTATATATGATAAATTTAGTATAATACAATTAAATAATCATATTAATAAATTATTAATTATTATAATCACGAATTGCTTACCAGGCGAGAATGATTTCTCCAGGAATTTCCCCATCTTCGTTATTATATCCTTTAGTAACGATTGTGGTATAAACTTCTTCACATACTTTTTCAGGTGTTCGTTCAATAAGTCTCTTGATTTCATGTTTTTTAGTATTTATTGGAGGATTTTCTGCCAACAAGGCAGCTATCAGACTTATGTAAAGGCACCATATTTTAATCTGTATCACTTTTGTTGAGGGATATTCTGAAGAAAGTTTTGATAATTTTGAAATTGCTGTCATACATAAAGAATAGGCTGAATCATAATTTCTAAGTAAAAAATCTTGTGTGGTTTTTTGATAAAGTGAAGTGATCGTTTGAACATGAGACGAATAGGGAGAAGAAGGAGAAGACGACGACAAAGACGACGACATAATTTGAAACTCTGAATTATGTGGAGTATGTCGAGATAGTGGTGGTGTCATTGTTATAGAATCCGAAAACTTCATTTACTCATTTATTTATATTATAATTTTTCATGCACTTTATTTACATGTGTAGTGTGTACTGACATAACTGCTTGGGAATATTTATTGACCAATTATTCAATATCTTCATCTCATCATCATTTGATGGATTTGGATTACTAATAAGATCGTCTTCATGATAATAATAAATAATAATAATTAATACGGCCGGCAGGAGTTATATTTTTATTTATCATGGCTGCTGCCGCCCGTTCCGCTATTCATTCTATCGATTGGCCTAAACTTACGGTTTCTTTGGGTTTACAAAAAGAAACCATATTAGCTTTACAAGCCTTTCGAAAACGTAATGAAGAAGCCAGACGTGCTCTGGCTGCTTTAAAGGAACAAAAAACTCAAGTGAATTTTGAACATTATCGCACGATCTTGAAAAATAAAGGAATCGTGAATGAAGCGGAAAATGCTTTGAATAGTTTTAAACCCACAAAAGTTGATTTGGATAAACAATTAAAAATCATTGAAACCTTTGAAGAGAAAGCCGTGAGTTCTTTTATTTATTTATTCCTTTTTATTTTTAAAATTATTTAAAATTATCCATTTATTACAAGTTTATTATTATAATTTTTTATTTGATTTTGATTTTGATTTTGATTTAAAGGTTACAAATGCAAAAAAGACTTCCTCAAAAGCAGAGTCTGAACTTCGAGATTTACATGTTACTTTAACTAACATAGAAGAAGCAAGACCTTTCAAAGAACTAACTGTAAGTAGTAAATTATAATAATAATAATAATTTAATTATTATTAAATTATTATTAAATTATTAAATTATTATTAAATTATTTAAATTATTAATTATTAAATTATTTAAATTACAATTATTAAATTATTATTATTATTATTATTATTAATTATAGGTTGAAGAAGTAGTAAAAGCTAAACCAGAAATTGTTGATATTGTAGAAAAGATGGTTAAAAAACATCGTTGGGCTGTTCCTGGTTATGAAGAAACTTATGGATATTAAAAAAAAAAGAAAGAACGAACTGTAAAATAACAATAAAATCGAATTCAATTCAATTATTGAATTCATTAGAATTTATTTTAATTTAATTTAATGTCCAAATAATTTAATATAATGCAAGGCATTTGACTTATATATTAAAGATTATTTTTTTTTTCCTATAAAAAAAAGCACAATTGGTTTTCAATACAATACATATATAATACATATACAATATACATATCAAAGAAGTAATGATCCTTCGAAAATAGAGTTAAGTTTTTTTTTTTTAATGTAAAGATATATTTATATTATATGTAAATTAATGAAGGAACCCTATCATCTCATTAACATCTTCAAAAGGATCTGGATTGTCTCTCCCCCCTCTTCTTTTTTTTTTAAAAAAAAAATATTTCGCATATTTCGCCCATAAAACTATTATATAACAAATCATCGATCATGGGAAAATTATTATTATTATAATGGATATATATATATATATTAGTGTATGTGATAAAAATGAGAAAAAAAAAAGGAAAAAGAAAAAAAAGGCCCATTAACAACAACAAAAATAATGATAATAATAAAATGAATTTGTATGATTTCATCTACACTAATAGATGGGGGAAAGATGGCAGTATTTTAGTGTTTAATAGAAAGAGAGATATATATAATGTGATGTGTAAACAAAGTGTAAAATCAAAGAAATGAAAAAAAATATAATAATAAAAAAATATATATACAAGCACAACTTGAATTATTTTTGCCTACTTTAACACCTCAAATATTTTAAAAAAAAACATTATCACATTATTCATCATTCATCACGGGAAATAAAAGAAAAAAAACACACATCACACGTACACCTTTTGTTGCTGTCGCTTTCCAAATAAAAAATAAAAAAGAGAAAACAAAAAGAAAAAAATGTTGCACACACAAGAGTACTAACTATAGTAGTAGTAGTAGTAGTAGTAGTAGTAGCAATAATAACAATGTATATATATGAATATAGAAATAAAATATAAAGAAATAAAGAAAAAAAATGACAACTCTACTATCAACTAATATATATATATATATGTATGTATGTATGTAGGATTATAATACTAGATATATCAAATAATAATTTGTATAATAATAATGTAAATAATAAACACGAATTAAAATATTCAACTCCAAATTTTTTCTTCAAATAATTTCGTTTGTTACACTGTGTAATACATATTAATATTTTTTCGTTATTGTTTTTGGATCAATCCAACAAAGGAAGAAGGATGGAAGGAAGAGGAGAAAGAAGAAAGAGAAAAAAAGAAAAAAGGAAAAAGCTAATACAATGCTTTTGTTTTTTTGTTTTTTTTTTTTAATGAAATTTCAGCGTTCAGTCGCTATATCTTCTCTATATATTGCAATTTTGTATAATAATTTTGTATATAGGTTAATTTATATATATATATATATATATATTTATATATGTTTTATATATATACATATATATATATAAAAAGAAAAAAACAATTGTGAGAAAAAAAAGTATATAGAAACAAAGTAAAGAAAAAAAAAAGATGTGAAAAAAAGGAAGAAATAATGATGTGGACACTCAAAAAAAAAGTCAATCAACTCTCCATTCATTAATCAATTCATTGATTGATTCATTCATTCATTTTTCATTCATTCAAAGCAGTGGTAATAGTGTAATAGTAGTAGTAGTAGTAGTAGTAGTAATAGTAGTAGTAATAGTAGTCGTAAACATGAGTTTTTTTTTTTTACCCAGTCTATAAAAAAAAAAAAAGACTTTGGATATTATATATTCTAAATATCATTTTAATTATGTAACCTTGGGAATTTCCTTTTCCTTCTTCTTATGCATTTCCATTTCCTTCTTCTTCTTAGGGCGTGGTGGAGTCACAGGTCGTCCTGTATTCAAGCCACCATAAGGATACTTTTGTTTCTTCTCGGCTGGTTTGAGAATCTAAATAAAATAAAAATAAAAGTAAATCAAATCAATTAAGTCAATCAATCAATCAATCAATCAATCAATCAATAAATCATAAGTGTAATTAATTAAATTCAATAATCAAGAATTTTAAAGAATTTACCTGGAACGAGCACATAAGAGTTTCGTCCACACTCATCATCGCACCAGCATTATCAAATTCACCACAATAATTCGGTGCGGAAAACAAAGTAACAAGCTGTCGTTTAGCAAAGAATTCATAACCATCTTCCACCACTTGATGTGCTCGACATATCAAATCCATATCATGCTTTTGCAAAAACCGAGTTACAACGTCAGGACCGAATGTAAAGGATACACCTCGATCGTTTTCGCTCCAGCCAGAGATATCCTTGTCGGGATCAGACCACAACAAATCACATAATAGACCTAAATAGAAATAATAAAAAAATTAATAATAATAATAATAATAATAATAATAATAATAATAATAAATTTATACCAGTGTCGGGCACATCTGTTGGTCGCATAACTCTTCGAATTTGTTCCATACTCTGAAGATCGGGTGACAGACCACCATGCATGGTAAAAATTTTCTCATCGATAATTGCAGCGATGGGTAAACAATTAAAGCAATCCGTAAAGGTTTTCCACAATTTGATGTTATACCTTCGCTTACCTGTGATTTTTATTTAAATAATAATAATAATATAATAATATAATATAATTCTCATAATTCTTCGTAATTCTCAAATTTGACTCTTTATTTTTTTTTTCACTTACATTCATCATAAAAGCCATAAATACGATTAATACTTGCACATTCGTGATTTCCTCTTAAAATAAAAAAATTCTCGGGATACTTTATCTTGTACGCCAACAAAAGGCAGATTGTTTCTAATGATTGTTTTCCTCTATCAACATAATCACCAAGGAAAAGATAATTTGATTCGGGAGGAAATCCACCGTATTCAAATAACCTTAACAGATCGTAATACTGGCCATGTATATCACCTATAAAAGAAATATGATATTTTTGAAATATTTGAAATCTTTTTTAACATCTTTAAAATAAAATTATTAAAATTAAAAAAAAAAAAAAAGGGAGATAAAAACTTAAAAAATTATAAAAAATCATCATATATATATTATATATATATAATTAATATTTATGTACCACAAATCTTTATCGGAGCTTCCAATTCAAGAAGTATAGGTTGAGAAATAAAAATTTCTCTCGCTTTTGTGCAAAGATATTTAATTTCAAACTCTGCAAGTTGTACTTGTTTACCAGGTCGACATCCTCTTACTATAAAAATAAAAATTTAACGATTACACCAACTCATAAAAGTATTAAAAAAAAAACCCCCCCAAAAATCTTTCATATCCCCTCGTAACCCTCATATCCCTTCATATATCTATTTTTCGCTTAATTTCACAAAGTAGACAAAATACCTTCCAATAATCTGTCAATGACAGAGTCAATATCTATTTCGAGAGAATCACTCATAGTAGCTCTTGCTCTTGTTTAAAAAAAAAATAGGTCCAAGAGCCAAAGTGTATTTCGAATAAAGTATGTTTGGATACAATAATTAGAGATTCTACAATACCAAAATACAAGGATCGATAAAAAAGAACACGTTAGTTGGGTTATTGATGCAGATTTCAAAATAATAGATATAAAGTTAATTGTTAATGTCCAGATGATAATAGCGTTAATAGAAACTACAACAACACGAGTTTAGTGGCAATGTTCACACCAGTACTTTTGTGACAGGACTAAGTGCAAGCATCCAGGTATAATATAAGAAGGTTTTGGAGGAAGTCATGGGTAACAATAATTTCTTTGTATTCAATTCACTTTTCGTTTTTCTTTTTCATTATTTCTTTCACAAGGTAATACATACGAGTAGGTGAACGAGGCAGGGAGCGAAAAGGTCGGTCTGAGAGGAATGCGTTTTATGAGTTAGGAAGACGAAGGATAGATTGGTTTGGCCTGAGTTGGAAAAAAAAGGCTGAATTGTTACTGTTTTTGTGAGCGAGGATAAAAGCTTGGGTAGCTCTATGTCGCTGATTTCCCAAAACAGAATTTGGTGACAGATTGATGCATCATTTGAATACTTTGATAACACCCCCCCAGATATTAGTTATAAATCCATAATTGATCATTTTTCCTCATTATTATCATTATTATGCAAGCAAAAAAAAAATGATCAGAACGATAACAACGCAATAAATTTTTCTTTTATAATTTTTTATAAGATATTTTGACATACTCTTTCGTTCAATCTTTTTAATGATCCATTTTTTTTTTTGATTTTTTTTTTTTTTTGTATTCAATTGATTTTATTTGATAATGATACGATACGATATCAAGGTGCCACCAAAAAAAAATAATGGAAAGAAAAAAAAAATACGAAAATACGAAAAATATGATTTACGTGATGATCGAAAGAAAATTTAAAGAATCAAAAATTAAATTTATTAATTTATCCGCAAGGATCCAAATCTCCCAATGCAATATAAGTTGCTATAGCTGCACATAGGCGCTTCACGGTATATAATATATATAGTCAATATTTTGCTTCTTTAACAATGGAATTTTTAAAATAGGAAATTATAATTTAATCTGAGATTTATTCCTATTTCTAAATATAGAAACTTTGTATTTTTTCTAAACTAAAAATTTTCATTTTACTTGATTTATTATTTTTTTTCTATGCTATCTTCTCTGTTATCTTATATGGATATGCATAATCCTCGAATGCTGTTTGTGTGACCCATGCACTGCTGTTGATGATAAAAGACCTCACATGTCTTCGTTAGAAGTTTTCAACTGCATTAATGTATTTGTCTGTAGGTTCACGCAATAAACCAATTTTGGTGTTTGATTGAATCTATCAAAAAAAAAAAAAAGATTTAATATAAAAAGATTATCCATGACACAAATTACCTGTCCCTTTATAAATTCCTAACATTAAAATCGATTTTAAGCATTCTTTCAGTGCGTTTAATTAACTCTTTCTGATTTTTTTTTTGATTCTTCCTTCTCCTTGCGTTCTTCTTTCAATGCTGTCCACCACCTCCTCCTTGTTTTTCTTTTTCCAATTTATCTAAAGAATGTTATCACAAGTGGTATCTGATCGAACAAATTTTCGATCTCTGTTATACATACTCTGCTGGGTCACGAGATAAAAAAAATCTTGTCCCTTTTAGCAGGTCAAGTCGACTTGACCTGTGACTCCATTACCTTAGAACGTTTTGATTTTTTTTTTTATCATTAAAGACATAACTCATTTTTCCTGGCCTTTGAAAAATCAGCTTCATTATTTCGATCTTTCAAAGTTTCGTTTTTTGAAAAATAATTTCTTTTCTGACGTGTCGTTCGTAAAATGTCATATAATTCGATAAATCGATAAGAAATCATCAGGAGTTTGATCAACCAATCAAAATAAAATAAAAAATTGCATTTACTTTCCAAACGAATTACACAACGTTATTTATTATTTTCATTCAATTCTGGTCATTCTATGATAGTCCGAGATTTGGTTTATTTTCCTTAGAAACTAACAGCATATATTTTTTAATAGAAGAGAAATAAAAATATTTAATATGTGATTAAAAAAACAAATGAGTTTATTTCAATCCATTATGTGATATCAACGTGCTCACCGAAACAGGAAAAAAATTAGGCTAAAAAATAAATTCTAAATTATTTCTTTATTTCAAATGTATCACAACATGTTTTTTTAATATAATTTGTAAATCTTACAAATTCACACTAAACTTATATGTTTACACAAAGGTGGATTGAGAAGAATAATGAACAATTGTTCATATTATTAATACAATTTTTAAAAATTACCCAATCTTTCACATGATAAAATTATTACATCTTATGTATTATCTAATTATTCTCATTTAAATAACTAATATCCACATTTGGATGTATGATATAACCATACTCTTCATTACTTATTGTTTCATTGTTATCACCTTCACCTTCTTTATCTGCTTTATCTGTATCACCTGCCATTTCATTATTATCATCAATTTCCATTTCATTTCCTTCAGGTTGGTAACCTTTGGGAACTTTTTGCAACCATTTCTCCTATTTAATATATAATTTTTAATTTTAATTTATATATTATATATTTAATTTAATTTATATATTTAATTTTTATATAAATTTATGTCTTAATTATAAATTATAAAAAATTAAAGATTTCTTACCTCAAGCAAATTATTTAATAATGATTTGAATCTTTTCCTTTCTATATTAATATCTTCTTCATTTTCCATGACACTTTCGCGATGTTCCATAAACAGAACTTCAAGATCATCTTCTGTACATGCTATATTTAAAAATTCTTTAATATATAACCAAATATAAAAAATATATGAAAATAAAATAAAATTTAAAATAAACTCACATTTAAATTCTGTTTCGTAAATACGTTTTAGAATTTTATCCTTTATTCTCTCATATTCTTCGTGCGGTATTTTCCACGATATTCTATGGGAAGGTCTACTATAATTTGTACCATTTTCGACCTCCATCGCATCATCGTCATTATCTTCGTATCCTATATCAACATCATCATGGCAAACATGAATAATTGATTGTTCAATCAATTTAGCTGCTTCATTGACGTATTCCGGTTTGATCTAATAATAAAATAAAATAAAATAAAATAAAATACATTGATCTAATTAATATGAAATAATTCGGTTGGATTTAATATACTATAATTATTTTATATTCTAACCTCTAGATCACAATGAGCTTTTGCTATGGCTTCAGATAAACGAATCATACTTTCCAACTGTCGAACAGTAATACGAAAAGAATTTCGAGCAGCACCTGTGGCATCATTTAATCGAAGTTCTTTATATTTTTCAATTAACAATCTTTTAGATTCCGGTGATACCTTTCGAATGCAAAGATCATAAAAGAAAAAAATTTTTTTTTTTTTTTATAAAATAGATTAGCAAAAAAAAAATAAAATAAAATAAGTCAAACAAAATATATAATACGAACTTTGGGTTTAATGGTTCTTGCAAAGTGTATATATCTTTGAAGAGATTCTGTGGAAAATGGCGGATTGACATTTTCATCTCCCTTTCGATGTGTACCGACAATATGTTCAGCAATCATTTGATCTACTTTTGGTTTACATTCATCTAAAACTACAAAGAAAAGATCAAACCGCGACATAATAGGTGCAGACATTGCTATATTTTGCTAAAAGATATATACATATATCACAAAAATGTGTTGAAATTAGAATAACTTTTTAATAAATAAAATAATAATAATAATAATAGTTTACCCTAAGAGAAAGTTTTCTATTATATCTACCACCAATTGGATTTGCGGCGGCCAATATTGAAGTTCTTGCGTTTAATGATGCATGAATACCAGCCTTGGCAATTGTAATTGTTTGTTGTTCCATAGCTTCATGAATGGCTACTTGATCAGAAATATCCATCTTATCAAATTCGTCTATTGCACAAATACCCTAATAAAAATGTTATAATATTAAAATTTATTAATTTCCAAATTTATCATATTTTAATTTATGTATAATATATTTTAATAGGAATAACTAATTACATTGTCCGCTAACATCAAAGCTCCCGCTTCAATTGTAAAATCACCAGATTCTTCATCTTTGACAACTGCAGCTGTCAAACCGGCAGCTGATGATGCTTTACCAGATGTAAATATGGCACGAGGGTGCATTTGACAAACATATCTAAAATGTATATTAATGAATGGTACATAACTTTTTAAATATACGGTTTTTATATTTTTTATATATATATTTATTTATTTATCCACGGAAATTAAAAACTTACTTGAGAAATTGACTTTTGCTAGTACTGGGATCTCCTACAATACAAACATTTAAGTCCCCTCTGAGATTTATACCTTCGGGTGTTTTTTTATGTACACCTCCCAAAAGTTGAAGTAAAATTCCTTTTTTAATAATTTCGTGCCCTAAACGAATAATGAAAGATGATAAAAAAAAAAATAATTAAAAATAAAAAAATTTGAATCTATTAACAAAATTTTCAATAATTAGAATAATTAACATTAATTAAATTACGAACCGAAAATATTTGGTGAGATGCTACTTATGAGATTTTGAAAAATGTCATCTTTTTGGCTCATTGAAACTATCTCAAGTCTTTCGTCTTCATTTAATTTTTGAAGATATACTTCATAATTTTCTTCAATTTCATCAGGATCAATTAACGTGTTAAGATCATCAACCTAAAATTTATTATTTGATTTTTTTTTTAACGATAGTCACTTTTAAAAATTATCTCTCAAAATAGCTTAGAAAATTAATGTTCCTCATACCCTTGAATCAACGTTATGTACGGTACAAGCAAGAAATGATATTTTATAAGATAAATCTCTAACACCAAGAGCTTTTAAACCAGATACTCCATTTGATATTCCATCAGACTTGGCTCGACTATTACGCGCATCCCGTTGCATTTCTTGCCCAATACCTATAAATTAATATCAAATTTATAATATTGATAATATAATTAAATATAAAATTATATAATATTGTAAGTTAACGATAAAGATTTTTACCTGGAACACCGAGTTGAGTGATATCAGGGATGACGAGTGGGGTTCCTGTGAAAATACATCTATTACCAGGTTTTGCCTTTTCAACCATTTCATGTCGAAGGATGACTTCAAGGCTATTTTTTTATTTTATTTTTATTTTTTATTATTTTTGATTTTTTTATGAATCAAAAAAAAATCAAAAATAAATTTTAAAATTTCATAACTGAGAAAAATGGAGAAAATGTAGGAAAATATGTATCATTAAAATAACTCACGTTCGAGGCATACTTCCGGTGGGTATCTCATTAGGATTTTCTTGAATTCGAACTCGCTGCCAATCCGTGAATTTGGATTCATCAATTTTAAGAGCCCAAGCGATTCTATTGGAACAGGTTGGTGTTTGACACATTGTAGGCTTTTAAAAGATAAATTTTTCAATAAATTAATTTGAAAATTTTCTGATTATATAGATATTATATATATGTATGTGTTATGGGCTTACTTCAGTATATTTAAATTGTTGTTCTACATTAGGTACTTCGACTTTACATTCTTGACATATAAATTTTCCATAAAGCAATTCTGGGCGCACTTCACTTGTTCTAGTTACTGTTCCACAAATACTCATCAGATGTCCTATTTTATTTGTTTTTATATCGCGAATTCTGTTTTGATGTGGCAAATTATAGAATGCCACTGAATACTCTAAATCATAAGATTTTTCTAAAGTTTTATCCTCATCTTGCCCATTTTGTTCATTTTGTTCATCTTGCTCATTATTATTATTATTATTATTATTATTATTATTATTATTATTATTATTATTATTATTATTATTATTATTATTATT